ATATGGGGCTATAGAGGATATGGGGCTATGGGGGATATGGGGCTATGGGGGATATATGAGGCTACAGGGATGGGGCATCCAGGCCATTTCCCACCCCAGCCCCGTTTCTGCAGAGCCCAGCAGGGAGTGCGGCTGGGCCAGAGCTGGGCTGGGCTCGGGGCTGTGGGGAGAGGCCCGGAGCTCCTGAGTCCTGGAACAGCCTCCAGTGGATTCCCCCCTCCCAGAGGCCCCCAAATTCCTCTGGGCACCCTCATCTGGGCACCCCCTTACCTGCTCCTTCCCAGTGAACTCCCCCAGGTCATGGGCCAGGCACTCCCGGTTCTGCCAGGACAGCGCTGGGGTTTGCAGTGGTGGGGAGGGACCAGGGGTGATTCTGTCCCACCTCAGCCCCTCCCGGGGCCAGGGGAGGGATCCCGGGGACCGGGGGCTGCTGCCATGGAGTGAATGGGATGAGGGAACCGTCTGGGGTTTGTTTATTGCCACGGTTTGTGTGAATGATTTCTTTTCTTACACCTCTGTTTATTAATATTGGTACTGTTCCTGTTCCTTCTCCTGTGTCGTTGCTGTTTCCAATAAATTGTTTTTACCTCCTCTGGGATCTTTGCCTTTTGTGCCTCCAGTTGGAGCTGGGGGGAAGCAGTGCCTGGTTTGGAGTCTCTAAATTGGGGACCACCATCCCTGAACCACAACCGCCTTAACTGGAACCCAAAGAAGGGTACGAGGGGTTGGGACAAGCACAGATGTGCCCAGAGCAGGATGGAAACAGCCCTGACCTGAGATCTGTGTTTGCTCCAGAGCCACTGCGCTCGAGGTTGGTTGTGTTGGTTGTGGTGTCCCAGCCTGGCCACGATTCCACCTTCTCAGAGCAGGGAGAGGGATCAGGGTCACTTTGTTGTGGGATTTCAGTTCATGGCATGAAAACACCCAGGGCAATCAGGGATGTTTGGGGTGACTGTTCAGTGCTGCTGCCCTGCTCTGGCCTTGGGTCCTACTCTGGGAATTCCTTAATAATCCTGCCCATTTTAGGGGGAGAAGCAGGGGAGGAGGATTGAGGATTCTCCCCAGCCTTTCACCCCCTTTCCCTCCAGGCCTGTTACAGAGGCTTTGGAGAATCCAGAATTCCCTTTGCATCTTCCTGGTTCTGCACCGAGGGCTGAAGAGCAGCAGGGACCAATCACCACCCTCACCTGGACCCTGCCCCGAGCCACTTCCATCACCTCACACATTCAGCAGAAACAGCGAAATCTTTGCTTTTCTCCCCAAAACACGCAGCAAGGTGTGGGATAAGGAATGAGGGGATGGTGTGAGGTAAAGGGTGAGTGAAGGTGTGGAGTCGGGAGTGGTGTGGATGGTGTGGAATAAAGGATGGGTGAAGGAGTGGGGTGAGGATGAGTGGAAGGTGTGGAATAAAGGATGAATGCACGGTGTGGAGTGAGGAATGAATGGATGGTGTGGGATAAGGAATAACCTGGATGGCGTGGAATAAAGGATGAGTGAAGGTGTGGGATAAAGGATGAGTGAAGGTGTGGGATAAGGAATGAGTGGAAGGTGTGGGATAAAGGGTGAGTGAAGGTGTGGGATAAGGAATGAGTGGAAGGTGTGGGATAAAGGGTGAGTGAAGGTGTGGGATAAAGGATGAGTGAAGGTGTGGGATAAGGGCCTGGGAATGTCCTGGTTGTGGCCAGGACAGGGTTAATTTCTGCAGCAGCTGCGAGGGGCAAGGCCAGGACCCCCAGGTCCTTCTGTCCAGGACCCCCAGGTCCTTCTGTCCCTTTGTCCTCTGTGCTGCTGTTCCTGTTTCTCATCCCGCTGCTGTTCCAGTCAATTCCCTCCTCCTCGTTTCCCTCTGTGCCCCCCTGGGTCAGGGCGAGGTTTGGGGTCTCGGGGCGGGGGGCACCGAACTCGGGCCCCCATCTCAGAGTTACTGACTCATGAAAGGGAAATTAAAGCTCAACGACCCCCCGCGTCCCCCACCCTCACCTGTTCCAGGTGAAATCCCAGGTACAACCTGCAAATGAGGGCACTCCCCCTCCTCCAGGTGTGTCCCACCTGAGCCAGGATCAATCCCGGGGTGCTCCAGCTCTGACACTCCCCGGCCATGGGGATTTGGGGGATTTGTGGGTGAACTTGAGGTGATCTGGGGATGATTTTGAGGTGATTTTGGGTGGTGATGGGGTAATTTGGGAGATTCAGGGATATTTCAAGGTGATTTTGGGGTTTGGCAGATTCTTGGAGGTGATTTCGGGTTCATTTGGGGGTGATTTTGGGGATTACTTGGTTTGAATCATTTTTGTGTAGTCCTGGGATGATTTTAGGGAGATGTTTGGGGTGATTTTGGAGGTGCGACTCAGTCCTGGGGTGATGTTGATCCCCTGCACTGGCCAGGTTGTCACAACTGTCACCTGAGCCAGGACCTGCCTCACCTGGATCCCACCCCGGCTTTATTTCAATCAAATATTGAAATATTTGGTTTATATTGTCCTTTTTTCCCCATTTTTTTGCCTGGAACAGCCAATGGGCTGAGGCTGGTATTCCCTGGAGCATCCAAGTCTGAGGGATCTGGGGATGAACCTCCCACACCTGGGCAGGTTCCTCACCTGGACCCTGCCCGGAGCCGCTTCAGTCACTTCACACATTCAGCAGAAATTGCGAAATCTTTGCTTTTTCCCCCAAAACAGCAGCAATGTCTCCTCCCTCCCCCACCCCCAAATTATTCCTTTATCCTCCAATTTTCCATAATTAAATCTGGATCTGGAATTCTTGATGACCTTATGAGATCGCTTCGCACCTGCACACACCTGGAGGCCACACCTGTCTCAGGTGGGTGAACAACTGGTGCCCCAGAGTTCCAGCAATGGAGCATCCTGTCCATGCCAGGAGTCACCTGTGGGAGGGGCTGCCAGGTAACCACACCTGGGGGCTCTCCAGAGGCTTTCCAGGTGTTCCCTGCGAGGAGGGCGGCCAGGTAACAACACCTGGGGGTTCCCAGATCTCTGCTGTGTCCTTGTGCTGGGAGTGGAGGGTGTCCAGGTGTGCTGAGAGGCTGCAGGTGCTCCTCACCTGTCCCTCACCTGGCCCCTATTTCAGGATGATGTGGTAGCTGTCGTTGGTTTCGGCTGCAAAGGAAGCCAAGGTCACCTCAGAACAGGTGAGGGAAGGTGGGGGGTGGGGAGATCTGACCCAGGTGTGGCCCCAGCACAGGGCCCCAGGTACTCACACACCTTTCATGGTGTCCAGGACGAAGCAGGATTCATCCTGGAAGTTCTGGATCATCTGAAAAAGCCCCAAACAGCAATTCAGGGCTTTTTGGGAAGGGTTTGGGTTCCAAAGGGCTGCAGGTGCCCAGGTGGGAGCTCAGGTGGGAGCTTGAGCCAAAAACATTTTATTCCTTCCTTGGGTCCTTCCCAACACCTGCCCAGGTGATCCCTGGTGTTCCCTGAGGTGAAGCTCCCAGGAGATCCCTCCTGGAGCCCTTCCCTCCTTCCCAGTGGCCCCAGGTGAGCTCCCGGTGTGGCCCAGGTTGCCCCAGCTGTGTCCCAGGTGTGCCTCAGGTGTGTCCCAAGTGAGCTCCAGGTGAGTCCCAGCTATGTCTCAAGAGTGTCCCAAGTGTGCCCCAGCTGTGTCCCAGGTGAGCCTCAGGTGTCCCCCAGCTGTGCCCGTGCCAGGTGTGCCCAGGTGTCCCAGCTGTGCCAGGTGTGTGCAGCTGTGCCCCAGCAGTGTCCCAGCAGTGCCCCAGCTGTGTCCCAGGTGTTCCAGGTGTGTCCAGCTGTGTCCCAGGTGTCCCAGCTGTGCCAGGTGTGTGCAGCTGTGCCCAGGTGTCCCAGGTGTCCCAGCTGTGGTTACCTCGTCGCTGACCAGCACGTGGATGCCGGTGGGTCCCTGTTTGTAAATCTGCTGGATCTGCTGGGCGGGGACACGGAAAAGCTGCGCCAGCTTCTCCGAGAGCTCGGCCGCCGTCAGCTCCTCCAGGTACACGGCGTGGTACACTGAGGGGACAGCACGGTCACACCTGGGCACGTGTGCACTCCTCTCACACCCTGTGTGCACACAACTCACCTGGGCAGGTGTGAGGTGCCAACACACCTGGGGAGGTGTGAGGTGTGTGGGCACACAGGGTGTGAGGTGTGTGCACACCTGCCCAGGTGTACCCACACCAGTCCAGGTGTGATCCCAGATTCCCAATTTCCTCCCAGGGGTGATCCCTGCTCCCCAGGTGTGATCCCAGATAACCAGGCATGATCTCTGTTCCCCCCAGATGTGATCCCTGCTCCCCAGGTGTGCTCCCCCACGTGTGTTCCCCAGATGTGATCCCCCAGGTGTGATTCCCTGCTCCCCCAGGTGTGATCTCCAGGTGTGATCCCCAGGTATGATCCCAGCTCCCCAGGTGTGTTCCCCCAGGTGTGACCCCTCACCGAAGAAGGTTCCTGCGCTGCCGTCACCGTCCTCGTGCTCGTGCTGGGGGTCCCTCACCTGCTGGGACTCCTGGCACACGTAGATGGTCAGGCGGGGCCGCACCATCCTGCGACAGGTGAGGGTCACCTGGGGTCCCCCCCCGCCAGGTGTCCTCAGGAGAAGCTGGAGAGCCCAACCCCGAGGAAAACCCTGGTGGCTGCCCCCACCTGGCTGAGCCCCAGGTGTCCCCTCGGGGACAGGTGACCCTGGTCAGTGAGGACAAGTGAGCCCAGCCCCCCCCAGGTGAGCCCCAGCCCCCCCAGGTGAGCCCCAGCCCCGTACCTGCCCTTGAGGGCGTTGAAGAGCCGGATGCCGTCGGCGGGGCCGCAGATCTGGATCACATCCTCACGGGTGAGCTTCAACAGATCCGCCCCTGCAACCCCAAACCCACCTGAACCCCCCTGAATCCACCCCAAACCCACCTGAATCCACCCCAAACCCACCTGAATCCACCTGAATTCACCCCAAACCCACCTGAACCCCCCTGAATCCACCCCAAACCCACCTGAACCCACCCCAAACCCACCTGAATTCACCCCAAACCCACCTGAATCCACCCCAAACCCACCCCAAATCCACCTGAATTCACCCCGAAGTCACCAAATCCCCCCAAATTCACCCCATATCCACCTGAATTGACCCCAAATCCACCCAAATTCACCCAAAATTCACCAAATCTCTCCCCAAACTCACCCAAATCCACCCCAAACTCACTCCAAATTCCCCCCAAATTCACCCAAACTCACCTAAACCGTCCCCAAATTCACCCCAAACGCACCCAAATTCACCAAACTCACCCAAATTCCCCCAAATTCTCCTCTTTGCCCAGAATTTGTCTTTTCCACCTGGTCTTCCTCCAAATCAGCCTTTCCCACCTTTGCTTTCCCCCAAATTCTCATTGTTTGGCTTTGTTTTTCCAAAACCAGCATTTTTTTACTTCATTTTTCCTAAAATCAGCATTTTCCAGCATGGTTTTCTCCAAATCCCTCTTTCCCAGCTCAGTTTTCCCCAAAATCATCACTTTTCACCCTTTTCTCCCCAATCACCAATCTCAAAGTAAAATAATTCTCAATTCCTAATTCCTAATTCTTGATTCCTAATTCCTGATTCCCAATTCTCAATTTTAATTCCTAATTCCTGATTCCTAATTCCCAATTCCAGTTCCTAATTCCTAATTCCCAGTTCCCAATTCCTAATTCTCAATTCCCACTTCCTCATTCTCAATTCTAATTCCAATTCCTAATTCCCAATTCCTATTTCCCAATTCCCAATTCCTGATTCCTAATTCCCAGTTCCCAATTCCCAATCAATTCCTCTCTGCCACCTGGACTTCCTTCCCCAAAATTCTTTGGGATTCCTGACTCTGATGGAGAAGGTTGGGCCAGGTGAATTCCCAGCCCAATTTCCCCCAAATTCACCATTTCCCACCCCTGTTTTCCCCCACATCAGCATTTTTTGCTTATCCCAGACTTGGCATTTTCCAGCTTTTTTTCCCCCAGATGAGCAATTGTTGGCTTTGCTTTCCCCCAGTTGCCACTTTCCACCTTTGCTTTACCCCAAATCAGCATTTTTCACCCCTCTTTTCAACAAAATCAGGTTTTCACCTTCATTTTGCCATAATTGGCATTTCTCACTTTGATTTCCCCAAATTAGCATTTTTCACCTTTTGTTTCCCCCCAAAATCGGAATTTTTCAGCTCTCTTTTCCTTAAAATCAGCATTTCCAGCCCATTTTTGCCTGAATTCAAGATTCTCTGTTTTCCCCAAAATTGGCATTTTCAGCTGTTTTTCCCCCAAATCAGCTTTTTCTCCCCAAATTCCATTTTTCAGCTTCGCTGTCCCCAGATCATCCATTGTCACCTCCTTTTCCCAAAATTGCCATTTCCACATTCATTTTCCTCAAAATCAGCCCCTCCTGAGTTACCTGTGCCAGGTGAGGCAGTGCCAGGAGAGGGGAGGTGACCTGGCTCAGGTGTGGGGAGGGGATCTGGCCAGGTGAGGAGTGGGGGTGACCTGGCTCAGGTGAGGTGAGCTGGCTCAGGTGAGGGGAGCTGACTTGGCCCAGGTGTAGGGAGGTGACCTGGCCAGGTGAGGGGAGGGGGTGACCTGGCTCAGGTGAGGTGAGCTGGCTCAGGTGAGGAGACCTGGCCAGGTAAGGCATTGGAGGTGATCTGGCCCAGGTGAGGCATTGGAGGTGACCTGGCCCAGGTGAGGGGTTGGAGGTGACCTGGCCCAGGTGAGGGGAGCTGACTTGGCCCAGGTGAGGTGAGGTAACCCGGCCCAGGTGAGGTGACCTGGCCAGATTGAAGGGAGGTGACCTGTCCAGGTGTAGTGACCTGTCCAGGAGTGGTGACCTGGCCCAGGTGAGGGGTTGGAGGTGACCTGGCCCAGGTGAGGTGACCTGTCCAGGTGTGGTGACCTGGCCCAGGTGAGGGGCAGGACTCACCTGAGAAGTTCCTGAAGAGCCGTGAGAAGGTGGAGAAGCGGTTGCGGTGCAGCCACTGCTGCGCCTCCTGCGGGCTCCAGGTGGGCAGCAGCGTCTGAGGGGACAGGTGACCTGGCTGAGCAGGTGAGGGGGGGACAAGTGTTTGCACTGGGGCAGGGGCACAGGTGAGCTCAGGTGTGAAATGAACCCCTGAGCAGGTGGGATGAGCTGATGAGCTCAGAGTGACCTGGAGATGTTCCCAGGTGAGGTGGGAGTGTCTCCATTGAGGCTCAGGTGAGCTCATGGGCTCAGCACAGGTGTGAATCCCCCAGGTGGGGACAGAAGGGCCGTGGCTCCCAGGTGTGTGCAGGTGACCCCAGTGTTCCCCCCAGGTGTACTGGGCAGGTACCTGGGCAGGTACTTACGTCAGCCAGGGGCGTGGGGGGGTCGGGCTGGTGGCTCGGGGACCCACTGCTGGGGACAGAGGGACACGGTCATGGGGATACTGGG